TAACAGGCTGTTGAGTTAGATTTACTTAAGTGACCTTCAGGCCTTAAGCATAAGCTCATTTACACCTCCAGGAGAAATATATAGATAATTCGAGTGTTAAACTAATCTCTGTGTGTGTGTGTGTGTGTGTGTGTGTGTGTGTGTGTGCGTGTGTGTGGTGAGAGAGAGAGACAGAGAGAGAGAGAGAGAGACAGACAGAGACAGAGAGAGACAGAGAGAGACAGAGAGAAACAGAGATAGAGAGAGACAGAGAGAAAGAGAGAGACGCAGAGAGAGATACAGAGAGTCAGAGACAGAGAGACAGAGACACAGAAAGAGGAGACTTTAAAGTTAAGAAGTTAAGTCACAGCACCTCTCATTGTCACTGGTACTCTATTCTAAACACTGAACTAGATTTTCCAGATTACAAAATACAGTCTCCTGTCACAGCTCTGAGTGTGAACCTTTCTATGGAGCTAAAGATAGTCCTTTTGAGCATCGTCTCCCACCCTTTCCTTCCTTTCCTTTCTGGCAGTCAGAATGATAATTATAATCCCTATTACTTTTGAGAAACTTTCTTTTCCACCCACATGGCAGCTGAATCCCTGGGCTCTCTGCAACAAACTCGGGGAAAGAGAGAGCCCCTCTCTCATTTTCTACATCTCACTCCTTCTCTTCTTTACTCCCTGGTGGGTTTTCTTGAACCATTTCCTGGAGACAAACATTGGATTTTCCTTCTTTCTCATGGGTGTTGAGATATAGTGAATTGTGGATCTTAGGTAAAACGCACAGGGGATAGCTCATGACTAATTTCTCTCTTGAGGTCATTGGCCTACTTACGGAGAAGGGAAAAGCTGCAGGCTCTGCTCAGGGTAGCACAGAGTCTCTGAGCCGAGGGGCCTAGCAAGCATCCTTTGCCTCCATTTTGCCTTAGTGCTTGTTTTCTCCAAATAAACATTTTCTGAAAGCTTTCGCTGAATGAACTTTCCCAGCCAAACAGAATATTATAAGTATTTAAATATTTTCCAGATTAACCTGCATAATTTGATGAAACAATCTTCAGTCTTTCCTTCTTCCACTACTGTGACATTATGAAGTCTACGGGCCAGTGGTGGCATGCAAGCTTTCTATGTAGATTTGTCTGCTGTCGACTCATTAGGGAAAAGTGTTTGCAGAAAAATCAAAGAAACTAAGCTGGGTCTTTCGTGCATCCTCCGAAGGGCTGTGAGATATTTCAGGCCTTTTTATCGGTGATATTTATAGTAGCTGCTTGTTGAAGGTATGTTTGTCAGGTGCCTCCTATGAAATTACAAGTTTTAAATTGGCAGCTAATGAACATCTGGGAGAGGTCCATCAAGAGCACAGCAGTTCTGGTTCTTCTCGAGGCTTCTCCCACTACCATGAGCACACATTGGTAGAAGGACAGTATTTCCATGATACTTTCCTAAGGCTAGCTTCATATTTTCTCATTTCTTCTATACTTAGTATTTGAATTCTTTAGAAAGAAAGTGGTAAGTTTCCTCCACCTTTTAAGTTTTTATTATATCAGTGTGGACTCCTGGTAGTTGTTTCATTTCGCAGGTTAAAATACATCTTGTTACGTATTTTGTAGCTCCATTAGAAAACCTTTTAGTTTGGACCCTGTGACATTTTCCTGACCCCCATACAAAACAACCCCTTGTTCTCTGCCATCAGATTTTCTAAGTTGGTGTTCTATTTTTCCCACACCAGTCCTTAATCAACAACATCCCATTTCTTTTACATCAGAACACTATTTAAGAAGCAAGCTCTGGTCATTATTCCTAGGATGGCATTGCATCTAGGCTCTCTTGAAACTGTGGAAAATCCCATGGAATCTAACAGACATATACTGCTGCACATCTATATATCTATATCTATCCTTTTTATTTGTTCATAAAAAGTTTGTGATTATGTTGTTTCCAGTCTTCATAGGAAGTGTCACATAATTAGAAGAAGATGAGAAGAAGAAAGCCATAGATATAGGACACATAAAAGGATACTTTGATAGGACACAAGACCAGAAAAATAATGTTAGTAGGCAATTCAAAGAGGTCAAATAACCACTTTGAGAAGTAAATCCTCATTTGAGAAGTGCACTAAAACTACAAAAACATTATAAATATTACCTAAAGTACTAACAAGAGTATGTGGAACTATTTATGCTATCTTTTGCAGGCTTTTTTGAGGGAGATGCTGCAAATCTCAATTGCTTCAAGTAAAAAGGAAAGAAAAGCAATTACAAACAATTTTTAACCTAGTATTTCTCAATCTTCCTTAATTATGGAATTTTATTTCTCCAGAAAAGATATTTGCTCCACAAAGGATTTTTAGATTGAGTCCTTAGGTGTTTTTATATTTACTTTAACAAATGTATAATCTTACAAAGACAAATGGAGTAATATATACTATTCTGAAATCAGTGCTGAGATTCCTTATGAACTTAAGAACTAATAATATTCAGTAAAGTATAAGCCATAATGGGCAGTAAGAAAGCTTAGTGGGAACAGGTGACAGGTGCCAAGTCTGACAAGCTGAGTTTGATACCCAGAACCTACATGATGTGAGAAGAGTAGATAACTGACTACCATAAGTTTCTCTCTGATTTCTCCACGTACACTTCCATGCATGCACACACACAATCCCACACACACACACTCACACACACATGCTCACAAATTAAATTAGTAAATGTTTATAAATAAATGTTAAGTTTTTTTCATAGTCTGTATATCTTGACTATTTTTCTCCCATAGTAATTTTCTGTTGTCCATAATGCAAAAGGCCTTTCTTCAAGGATATATGTAATTGTACTTTTATTACATACCAAAAAAGCACATAAACTCATTCTTAACATAATTATACATGAGTAAATGCAAGCTAGAGACACAGTGAGGCATCTTCTCACACCTATGATAGTTGGGAGCAAAATAGAAGAGTGTATGTCCTGAAGAAACTGTGATGAAATTGGAACCCTGATACATTGCTAGTAAATCTCAAAATATTGTAATCTATTTATAAATACTCTAACAGCATCCAACAAATGATAAAGAGTGACCACATGATCTAGAAATTCTACTTCGCTTTAATAAACCCAAAATGAATGAAAGCATATATAACGGTAAAACCAGCATCTTTCAGAGGTTAGCAATAACCTGTGCCGATCATGTGTTCAATGAAAAAATGAAATGTGGTCTTTCCTGTGATATAATAGCATCAAAATTAAGAATACCAGTTATTGCATGTCATAGTATGGATGGACTTTGAAAATGTCACTCTGCTTGATGGAAGCTAAGCCAGCAACACATGGCACATGGAATGGTCTAGAATTGGCAAACAGCAGGAACAGGAGTAACTTAGTGGCTGGTCAAGGCTGAAAGGATGCAGGGAGATTGCTAATAGGTTTTTGTGTAGTTTTCTCTAATAATAAATTGTTGGTGGCAGGTAATATGACTATATTGAAATGATAAACTTTAAACACTACTGGGTGAACTTCCTGGTCTATGAATTAAAACTCAATGATGATTCTATAAAGAAATTTATGGTTGAAAAGAGAATTTGCACAATAGTAAAATAATTTTACAGGGCATCTTATTGAATGGAAATCCTTAATTATGTGATAAAATAGTATTTTTAGTAAAGAAAAGCTCAATGGAATATTTAGAATTAATGGAGGTGCACTATTTTTTTTTACCTAGGTAGGGCAGTGCCTCTGCCCTGAAAAAAAACAAAACAAACAAACAAAAAGAAAACCACATACTAGTGTTTGCACAAGATACTCTGAGTTTCAGCTGTTAAATGACGTCAATGGATTTTCCTTTGTATGAGCAGCAGTGAAGTTGGACTAAACTTTCAGCATTACAGTTGGGATATTCAATGACAAAACTAGTATAAAAAATACTGAATACACTTAATGATGTTTCTATTCAATTAATTGGTGTCTAAATGATTTTCTGTACCTTAATTGGATCAAACTACTGAGTACTTCTTGAAAATAAAGCACCCTACTCATGGTCTCTCTACCTCCTCCCATTGCTGAGATTAAACACTTGTGAACATGCAGAATACAAATATTTTTTATTAAGAATTTGTGGAAATTGTTCCTGGGAGAGTCCTTTTCATCTCAGCAGAACAGAAATGCAATTAGAGACAAGATAGTGAAATCTACTTAAAAATACCACCGAGCATTTACTGTTTTAATATTAATGACTCCTTCTATCTACCACACATTCTAGGAAAAAATTTATGCATCCTGACCATTTGGTTTAGTAGTTCAGTTAAATAGCAACCATTTAACTTATGAACAAACAAACAACCCATCTTGACCAAAAGCACACACTAGAATTTAGATAATCAACATTTTGCCTGCAATACCAAGGCAGTAATATGAAGTAATATACATCACAGTACAGTACAGTATTTGTGTTCTAAACTTTAAAGCAATATGTTACTCCTCAAATTTTCTTTAATATCCAAGTTAAAACAATTTTTGTATATTTGAAACTGTAATGATATGCAAAAGAATTCTAAAATGTGCTAATGATATTGCCCTCTCCCATCTACCATGAAATGCACATAATAGGGTTTACTTCATTATATATAATTATTAAAAAGTAGAAAAGCACAATTTTGAGGTCAATTTTGTACATAAAGTTTTAGCATAAAATTTATTTAAGATGTTATAACCCATAAAATTCCTTCGGGAAAATGTTATTTACTGTAAAAGTATTAATTGTGGAAACTAACTCTAAACCCAAGAATAATGTTGAAACTTATACTGTTGTTCATTAAATTAGTATATCATGATTAATGAATAAGATTAATAACCAGCAAGATCAATTTTATTTATGTCTTAGGCCACTTAAGATGTTCATATTTTTCTAATGAAAATAATATAAACAAAAGCAAATGTAGGCACATATCTAGTTGTATATCTTGGCTTACTATAGGTCTATATCACACAACTACTCATTAAATTATCTTAAGAAAAAAAATATACTTACTGCCCTCTAGAGGTATGAACCAGTAGTGTAATAAGTGTAGATGTTGCTGGGCATATACAGTTTAAAGCTAACATGGCGTATTTAAACTCTTCTTCACATACAACATGATCTGTTTGAAATAAAATAGGTAAATTAGAATAATTTACCTTTTGAGGGTAATATGTTTAAATATGAAGAATAAAGCAGTGAATGAAATTGCAAAAGTCTCAGTATAAACATACTTATTTTAGGACTCTTTTTTTTCAGGTGCAATATTATCCCCAGAAATACATTTTGTAAGACAGAGTGCTGGAGAATGAGTTTGTGACTGGGCTGGGGGGCTATAAAGGTAGAATTCTAATCCTGACAAAATGGGGAACCTTGGTAAAATGCTGAAAATGCCTGTGCAAGTCAGAGAGCAACAGCTGGTTTGAGATGCAGTTCAGGTGGTTAGATTCCATCATTTAGGATCACAAATACAATGCTACTGATTTTCTAAAAAACATAACAACATGGTTTTACACTTCAAAATTATTAAAACACATGGCAGGCTATTTGACTAACACGAGTAATATTTTATACTATCAGAGCCACAGTATTAATCTTCAAAATTAATATTAAGGTGAATTGAAATAAAAGTGCACTGTCAAAAATCTAAGGTTCCTAAACTCAAAAGTGGATGGCGTCCAGCTAGGAAAGATAGAAAGTGGCATCTCAGTGGCATAAAAGGAAAAGAGTGCTAGAGGATGACAGAGAGGAAGGCCAGTCACATCTGAAGGAGACAAAGCTACTGAGCCCAAATTACATTGCTACCCTATGGGAATGATGAAGTTATTTGACTTTCTACATAAATCATACTTTTAAAAAGGAAACAAACTATTGCTCATCTAAAAGCAACCACCCCCATGCCAAAGTGTTTCACATTAGTATTAGAAATTGAGAACCTAGTAAATATCTAAGAAATGTATACATCCCTCAGCAGAGAATAGGAATTTTAGCTAATGGAAAGACAGAAAGATTACAGTGGTTAGTGAGATTAAAAACTGTAAAAAAAAAATAAACACCAGGCAAGACAGGCAGAGGCAAGAACAAGTGACTTCAGAAATGAGGTAGCAACTGTTCCCCTACAACTGTTAGCAAGGTGATTCCTGGTTAATGTGTTTGAGCGTATGGAAGAAGAGCTCATTGCTTTTTATTCTAATTTTGTTTAAATGTTGCTTTTATTCCTCTTTGTTACATTTCATGTGAGAAATATTGCACTAGCTATAATACCTCAGCATTTAGTCTAAAACGTATCTCCTAATAACCTCTGCATCTCTCTTCACTCCCTTTAGCACCTTACCCTCTCTTCCCTTTTCAGATTATCATTATGTTGAAATGACAGTTGAGGAAGACTCCAAAAATACATAGCAATATTATTTAATGTTTTGCAAAAAAGGGAGCAGATTCTAACTCCAATTTGAATGTTAAGATCTGTACTGAATATTTGCAAAAGAACAGTGTATTTAAACCACCCTCTCAATATTTCTCAAAATAATTTTTGAATGTGCATGCCTAATCTGTGAGAGAAAGGCAACAAAGCTGTTAAAGGCAGAATGCGGTTGCTTTAGACTCCTATCTTAGCAATGCATAGGGGACCATGATTTCAAACTAACACTCGCAACATATGATCTGTGAAAAAATATATACACTTCATAACATAACATAAGACAGGACTTTTAAAAATCCAAACTGCAACAGAATAATTGGAAGCTTGATTACCATATGTACCACCACATGCGGTTATTAATTTTCACTAAGAGGCATAACCATATTTCTTCAAATAGAACAACTTGAAAATTGCAGTACATGGGTGATGCTTTGTAAATATTTCATCATGTTTTCCTTCAATAGTTAAAAGTGAGGTATTGTGGCCTTTCTTTGTTCAACAGTTATCAGAATTTTAGAGGGAATGACTGTGGGGTAATTGTATGATGATGGTCTTCTCCCATTCCATAAAAGCTATACTGTTCTTTACTAATATATTAAAATCCTCACATGGCTCCTCTCTCAGATAAAGGCTTTGCAGCACCAGTCAGTCCTTCAGACTTAAAGCACATTTGCCACCATTCCCACCATACAAACATAAAGTATGTTCTGCATTTTCAGTGTCACATGCTGAATTATCTACCAAAAAAACTGCATGTAAATTAAAATGCACTTTACTATCTTTAGCATAGCATGTGACTCACTGATATTACTTTAAGACAGTCATCACTATTTTCTACTAGTGTCAACATCTATTACTGGCATGACTATTGGTGCAAGCCTCCTTTATAGTGCATTTTCTTGTTTATTTTATTTCAACACTTCCATAGAAACAATTCATGCTTCATTGTTATGCATATCTCCCTGCACTTTTTCAGTAAAAGAAGTGCTAAAAGTACCTTTTGCACAAAGTAGGCACAAAAGTCTAGTGAGAATGCTCGGTGAACAAAGAGCTCTTTGTTCAACCAAGAAAGCCTAAAATAGAGGACTAACATCCAGGTATATAATGAACACACACACACACACACACACACACACACACACACACACACACACACCCTCTATATCAAGAAAAAACCTAATTTAAAAATGGCTAGAAACACTTAAATACACCTTAAACATGCTTAGATATTAGGAAAATGCCAGTCAATATTACTTTGATTTCATTTTACACCCATCAGAATGGCTAAGATCAATAAAAAAAAGTGATGGGTCATGCTGGCAAGGATGTGGAGTCAAGGCAACACTCATCAGTTGGTGGTGGGACTGCAAAGTTTTACAGCCACTATGGAAATTAGTGAGGTGATTACTCAGGAAGATGGAAATCGATCTACCTGAATATCCAACTGTATCACTCTTGGGTATATAGCTAAAGGACATTTCACACTACCACAGCGATACTTGTTCAACAGTGTTCATTGATGCTCTGTTAATAATGACCAGCAATTAGAAACAATCTAGATTCCTCTGATCAGACAAATGGATAAAGAAAATGTGGTACATTACACAATGGAGTATTACTTATCCTTTAAAAAACCTGAAATCATGAAATTCTCAGGTAAGTGGATGGAACTAGGAAAAAAGAAAAAAACCCACCCTCAGTAGGTAATCCAGACTCAGAAAGACAAATAAGGTATTTAGTCACTCATATGTGGGGAAAAAAACCAAACAAGCAAACAAACCCTTTTTTTAATGTAAATACATTTTCTTTTTTAAGAACTTTCACTATTTGGGGTCTAGGGACATGAATCTGTGGTTAAAAGAACTGGTTATGCAACCATGTTAGCCTAAGCCCAAGTCCAAGTGCATATATATATAGAGCCAGGTTGTCCATGTGTGTCTGTGATACCTGTGTTGGGACAAGGAACCTGAGTGCTAAGCAACTAGCCAATCTAGCCCAAACAGTGACCTTCAGGTTCAGTAAGGGGTCCCGTCTCAAGCAGTAGAAACAGAGTGGTAGAGCAGGATCTTTGATGATGTCCCCCGGCCTCCACACCCTGCACACATGCATCACAAAGACAGAAACATTAAAATCTACAAACACACACACACACACACACACACACACACACACACACACACACACACACCTTGCTAGATTTGAGAATTGCTACAAATAAATCCAATTCAGAGATACTCTCCTGGGAAAGGCAGAGTCTTCCTAATGTGATTTGATGTCATGTAAGTCACCTGTGTGCTGAAACATGTTAACTTACTTAGATCCTGCTGCCCAATCCTGCCGGTCAACCACATGTAACTATCCATAAGTTAAAATTCAATAAAAGTAAAACTCAGTTCTTCTGTCACACTGGGAGGATTTAAAAGAGTTGGGTAACAATTGTGATTGCTGATTAACCTGCTGGGCAGGGTGACATGCTTCCTTTGTCACCACTAGTCTCATTGCCTAGGCTTCCTCATGTGTCAAATGGGTTCTCATAAGCTCTAAAACAAGTAGAATATATTTCAAATTCCTCTGCATATCACTCACCAGCAGTCAGAACTTAGACAAGCTTCCTAACATAATGCACCATTCCTGTGTACCTTCTCTGTCATATGGCAGCTAAAAATGTTCCTCTGTAACACCAGGAGAAAAGGCAGAACATATGGGGATGAATACAGGCAGGGGAGGAGTAGCTGTGGAGGTTTAGGAAAGTGATGTTGTTCTTACTATGGCTCTATTTTCTTAGTCAAATAGATGGAAATGATTAGGAAGAAGGTGGCAAAATAAAGGGTGCAGATAATCTGTTGTTTTCTTGTGTTTTTTCCTTTTGCTTCACTAAAATGCAGGAAACTTGGGCCAGGAATAGAGCTCATTTGGTAAAGTGATTGTCTTACAAACATGAAGACCTAGTTTCCATTCCCAGAACACACGGGGTGGGGGCGGGGAACCTGATGTAGTGAGCCACACAGTTAAGCCTAGCACACGAAAGCAGAGATAAAAGGACCAGTGTGACTGCCGGCCAGTGAACCTATACTATTTGGCAAACTTGAAGCCATTGAGAGCTACCTTCTCAAACACCAAAGAGTACAGCTTCCTGAGAAGTACATCCAAGGTTGACTGCTGGTCTCCATGCACAAGTACATACACATGCACTCATAGAGGTGATCTGACAGGAGAAATGGAAAAGATGAGGTGGGCACTTTAATAGGGTGAGAAGGAGGTAAATACAGGAGGAGGGATGTGGGTAAAATAACAATAAGGGTACCTTCAAAAGTCACAAAATATCATAAAAAATGTTAACTATTTCGCTAAGCAAGGCCGATAACATATGCAATTCCACATATGAGCTTTACCCACCTGAGCTGACAGTGCCCCTTTAAGAGTCAAAGACAACCTAACAAAAACATCAGTATGAGACATGAAAAGCCCTCTTTTGAGTTGTTGACCAGGTTGTTTAAGAGACTCCACAAACATGCAGCCTATTGTTGTTTTTTTTGTTTTTTTTTTTTGTTTTTTTCCCTTTTCTTTTCTTTTTTTTTTAATTTATTTTAATTTATTTTGCAATACAATTCAGTTCTACATATCAGCCACGGATTCCCTTGTTCTCCCCCTTCCCGTCCCCCTCACCTTCCTCCCAACCCCCCCCCCCCATTCCCATCTCC